CGCCCTCACCCTCCTCTTCCTTCCTTTCCCCATTATTATTCTGTGTATGGTTAAACTTCTTGGCCGGTTCGAAACATTTGCAATAATTCGTATCGAAGCGTGACTGCACTCTCTGGTGCCAGACCGGGACAGCATCTGCGCTGCCGGCCGGACCCGAGCCCGCTCCTCTGCGAAGGCGGGGAGGATTCAGCTCTGCGGCCGCGGGCGCCTCTCAGCACCGGCCGCAGCAGGCGGAGATGGGTGGGGGATCAGCAGGGAAGCTCCCACCTGCCACCCGTCCTGTTCCCTGCATCCCCCACGATCATGACTCAGAAGCACAAAAGCCCCTGGATCTCCATGTCCGGCTGCGAACCCCTCTGGCTCTCCCTCAGGGGGCTGAACTTCCCACACAAAGCGCAGGTTTCGGCTGCCCTGGTCCCTCCGTGGCCACTGAATCTGAGCCGGGGGCTTTTCCCCGTGTTGTTCCCGTGGCTCCTGGAGCCGCTGAGTCTCATCCCCCTCGAGCGGCTCACCCCACCCCGGCTGCCCACGGCCCGACCCCGGTCATGGTGGTCCCTCACCGGTGGTCCCGCAGGTGGTCCTGCCTCCGGAAAGCCTTGTGGCAGATGTCGCAGGTGTAGGGCCGCTCGTCCGTGTGGGTTCGCTCGTGGATGAGGAGGTTGTAGGACTTGGTGAAGTGCCTGCCGCAAAACTTGCAGATGAACTCCTTTTTCGTCTTGGAGGGCAGGCGGCCGCGGGAAGGCTTTCTGTCCGGGGACAGCTTGCTGATGCCCGACAGGGGCGAGGCCAGTCCGGGACTCAGCTTGGCGAGCTCCCCCACCTTGGGGGGGTCCTCCTGCGTGGCGGCCACGGCCAGGTTGGCAAAGTCAAATCGGGGCCTGTCCTTGTGCAATGCTGGGAGGACGTGGGCGATGGCCCCTTGCTTGGGGTGGAAGAGGTGCGTGGCAAAGGGGAGAGCGGGGAAAGGGAAGCGGGAGTCCACCAAGCCCTGCGCGGCCGCCATCTCCGTGATGGTAGAGCGGGTGATTTCATGCACATTGGGGTAGCCCAATGTCCAGTGGTTCATGTGCATGGTTTGCACGGCGCTGAGTCCGTACAGACCTTGCAACTGGTCCACAGCTGCGGGGAAGGTGTTCACAGCCTGGAGGAAGGAGTAGTTAGTGAGTTGCAGGGACGGGTGCAGCGGGATGGGGGCTGGCAGAGCCTTGCTTCCCATCTTCCCGAGGTGGGCGCGAGTCGGCGGAGCAGCTGGTTCCTCTGGATGGGCTTCCGAGATGGGGAGAAAATCCTAGGAAGAAAGAGGGAGAAAAGAGGGGAGAGAGACTTTTACTGAGAGCAGCGTGGTACTCCTTAGCCGAGGCGAGCGCAGCAGCGGAGCCAGGGAGGGCCAGGCACGG